GAATTCACCGGAACTTCAACGGGAGCTTGAGACAAACGAGCCTCCGATATGTCATTTGTCTGACTTAGTTTTCCTGGTTCCCGGATTGCGGAACAAACGAGGGGGAAACAACTCAAAATTTTTGTGTACACTTTGAAAATTTTTTCCAAATTTTTTGAAATTTTTCCAAATTTTTCAAATTTTTTAAAATTTTTCAAACTAGTGAAAATTTTTTAAAATTACCAAAATTTTTGGAAATTTCTGAAATTTTCCAAAATTTCTCGAAATTTTCCAAAATTTCTCGAAATTTTTCAAATTTTTCGAAATTTTTTTCAAATTTTACCCAAGAAATAAGTATTGACGGTTATTTACGACACCGAAAAGCCTCATGCATTCGAACTATAAGAAAATATCTTTTCTCATAGACGTAACTTCGCGTTTGTTATTCGTTGTGCGTCTGCTGTCGTCTGCTGTGTTGCGTTCGAGAAGTCCACGGGAGCACGCTAAACTCTGCTCTACTTCGACTCCCCCGGTCTCCCCTGTACCAGAGCCACTCCAGGCTCCCTACCGTGTACCCTCGCTGTACCCCCACCACTCCCACCACCCCTCCTACCTCCCCATTATTTGCAGTGCCGTGTCTGCAGTCTGCAGTTAGGGAAGCTGTACGCGTATCTTTGACTCCATGATCGCTCCATGATCATTGCTCCCATTGTTTCCAAGTAAATATGTCTTTAGTTAGTTGTATTATCGACCAATTCTTATTACAAATGCGACTGGTGTTTCACTTATTTGGTCGCCAGATTTCAACATGTTCAACAGGTTCATGTGTTTGCCACGCTTTGGCTCGTCGTTTTCAGCCTGTACCCCTAACCCTGCGTTTTCAACACGACTAATTTTTCGGGTCTGAATCGGTAAGCCATATTGCCGGGGCATTCCGCAACGCAATTGCTTTGAAAATGACTCCCAAAAATAGCAATGTGTACCAGTGCATGTTTAGACCTCCCTGAAGTTAGCCAACCCACATTGCCAGAGAAGGTTCAAAATACAACAAATCGACGCAGAATGATTTGTTCTAAAATGTTCCACATTTGTTCCAATTTGTTCCTCAACGAGGGTGGCTCCAGGCTAGTTATCGTTTTTCGATAACAAGCTGGCCAGCTTCAAACCAGTAAAAATGCACAAATCGACCGAGAAAAAGTGCAGTTCTTCTCAAAAACGTTTGTTCCAAAATGTTCCACCATCGTTTCACGGCCACCGATAACTCAAATGCGTTTTTCGAAAAACAGTTGTTTTGTTGGGTTGGTCAACTTCGAAAATACAAATCTGCGCAAAAAGAGTTGGAAACAACGCGGTTCGCCTCAGAATCGTTTGTTCCAAAATGTTCCGCCATCGTTTCACGGCCACCGATAACACAATTGCGTTTTCCGAAAACAGTTGTTTTGTTGGGTTGGCGAACTTCCAAAATACAAAACCGCGTAAAAAGGGGTGAAAATAATGCTTATGGCCTCAGAATCGTTTGTTCCGAAATGTTCCACCATCGTTTCAAGGCCACCGATAACACAAATGCGTTTTCCGAAAAACGGTTGTTTTGTTGGGTTGGCGAACTTCCAAATAACAAACCTACGTAAACAGGGGTGAAAATAATGCTAATCGCCTAAGAAACGTTTGTTCCGAAATGTTCCACCGTCGTTCCACGGCCACCGATAAATGAAATGCGTTTTTCGAAAAACGGTTGTTTTGTTGGGTTGGCGAACTTCGAAAATACAAATCTGCGCAAAAAGAGTTGGAAACAACGCGGTTCGCCTCAGAATCGTTTGTTCCAAAATGTTCCGCCATCGTTTCACGGCCACCGATAACACAATTGCGTTTTTCGAAAAACAGTTGTTTTGTTGGGTTGGCGAACTTCCAAAATACAAAACCGCGTAAAAAGGGGTGAAAATAATGCTTATGGCCTCAGAATCGTTTGTTCCGAAATGTTCCACCATCGTTTCAAGGCCACCGATAACACAAATGCGTTTTCCGAAAAACGGTTGTGTTGTTGGGTTGGCGAACTTCCAATTAACAAACCTACGTAAACAGGGGTGAAAATAATGCTAATCGCCTAAGAAACGTTTGTTCCGAAATGTTCCACCGTCGTTCCACGGCCACCGATAAATGAAATGCGTTTTTCGAAAATCAGTTGTTTTGTTGGGTTGGCGAACTTCGAAAATACAAATCTGCGCAAAAAGAGTTGGAAACAACGCGGTTCGCCTCAGAATCGTTTGTTCCGAAATGTTCCGCCATCGTTTCACGGCCACCGATAACACAATTGCCTTTTTGAAAAGACAGTTGTTCTGTTGGGTTGGCGAACTTCCAAATAACAAACCTGCGTAAACAGGGGTGAAAATAATGCTAATCGCCTCAGAATCGTTTGTTCCGAATTGTTCCACCGTCGTTCCACGGCCACCGATAAATGAAATGTGTTTTTCGAAAAACGGTTTTTTTGTTGGGTTGGCAAACTTCAAATATACAAATCTGCGCAAAAAAAGTTGGAAACAACGCGGTTCGCCTCAGAATCGTTTGTTCCAAAATGTTCCACCATCGTTTCAAGGCCACCGATAACACAATTGCGTTTTTGGAAAAACAGTTGTTTCGTTGGGTTGGCTAACTTCCAAAATACAAACCCGCGTAAAATGGGGTGAAAATAATGCTTATGGCCTCAGGATGGTTTGTTCCAAAATGTTCCAACATCGTGTCAAGGCCACCGATAAATGTAATGTGTTTTTCGAAAAACGGTTGTTTTGTTGGGTTGGCGAACTTCGTAAATACAAATCTGCGCAAAAAGAGTTGGAAACAACGCGGTTCGCCTAAGAAACGTTTGTTCCGAAATGTTCCACCGTCGTTTCACGGCCACCGATAACACAAATGCGTTTTCCGAAAAACGGTTGTTTGGTTGGGTTGGCGAACTTCCAAAACACAAACCCGCGTAAAAAAGGTGAAAATGATGCTAAGGGCCTCACAATCGTTTGTTCCAAAATGTTCCAACATCGTTTCAAGGCCACCGATAACACAAATGCGCTTTGCGAAAAACGTTTGTTTTGTTGGGTTGGCGAACTTCCAAAATACAAACACGCGTAAAAAAAGGTGAAATTGATGCTAATGGCCTCACAATCGTTTGTTCCAAAATGTCCCAACATCGTTTCAAGGCCACCGATAACACACATGCGTTTTACGAAAAAGGGTTGTTTGTTTGGGTTGGTGAACTCGCCTAGTACAAATCCGCGTAAAACGAGTTGAAAACAACGCGGTTCTCCTTACAAACGTTTGTTTCAAAATGTTCCACCATTTTTCGGCGGCTTCTAACTTTGCAAGGGCTTTCTCGAAAAAAACTCGATAACTGTGAGCTGGCTGACTTGTTTGTAGAGAATCCTGAAGAATAAGATCGAAATGGTGCTGGTAGTGTACGAAACGTTTTTTCCTTAATGTTCCTGCAACGTTTCGTGGCTTCTCACTTTGTAAGGCTTTGGATAAGGACGTATCACATGAAGTAGCTACGGGACCGCGCAGAGCTTGTAGCGGGTACCAGACGTCTTTGGGTACCACCACCCTGAGAGAGGCTACGTGGTACCAGAGATGGCAAATTTACACGGCGGAAGTTAGGGGGAGGCGGGGGGACGGGGAAATGGTGGTGGTGGTGGTGGGCGGGGAACTGGGGTGCGGGGAAGATCAATCATGGTGACATGAAGTGGATAATAACTAGGAACAAAAAAGAACAACAAAATTTTCGCAAAACTTTTACAGTCTTTACCGGTCTTATATGTAAGTCCGGGTACCTTTTCCTTAAACCGGTCTTATATTTAAGTCCGGGTACCTTTTCCTTAGTCGTGAGGATGACTTGGGACAAACGACAACTAGTTTACGTAAACCTCCATAACTCAAAAACTAATAGGAGTTGGGCCCCCCAACTTTAACAATAAATTCATCTTATAGTGGTTGAGTTTTACCCACGTTTTGAACTTCCTGTCACAAATATTTCTAGGACATCCAAATTTCACTTTCCTTCAGCTGATCTGACTGTGGCTTGAAGAAAATTGTAAAAGCGAGGGCAAGTGAAACAACACCAGTCCTAGCTCAGACTTAAAGATAGTTTGGTTTCAGAGGATTGCTCAATACAATAGTCTCTCTTTGATGAAGAGCTGAAGCCTGTTCCTAAGTTAATTAAATTCACAATATACAAGACTATCGAAAGAGCATCAATGAAATGTGTTGTGCAGTAGAAGATTCTGCTATACATAATGCTAGGATTGGCACAAAACAAATGTAATTTAACAGCCATCTCGACTAAACTGGCTATTGTAAGACAATATAAGGTAGAGGAAGTTTTTTTTGGACGAGTAGGTGTGAATGAAGGACAGAGCACAAATCAGCCACAATAAATAAATGAAACATTCCCTATACTTCACTTGATGGAGATTCGTTACTTTAATTCCACTTTCGAGCACACTACAGTTGCATCACCAAGTTATGAAGTGTATATAACTGCATTTTCAAAAAAATACTAGTGAATAAACCAGATGAAACATTCCTGTTCGTTTGCCTAAGGTAGAAGGTAATAAAAATGTCAGAACAAAAATCTTGACACCTCATCAAAAGGTACATAAACTTTAGCAACAATTCCGTGATGTGAATGCTCACAAGTCAAACAGTAAGATGATTTTAACAGAGAAAATTTAAGGTGAACAAAAGAACCAAATTGAGAAGTTTCATGCATAGTTACTTGATAGAGTTGCACACTACTCAAGTACATGGTTACAAGCTTAAACAACCAGAGTGATGTGGAATGCCTGCTGCAATGAGCACCAACACCACAATGAAATTCATCACAGAAGTTTCTGGTAGGGTAGTGAAACAAACACACAAATACCTGTCAAATACAGAAAATGTGATATTTAAAATACAAACCAAGGGTACTCTGATATATAATTGAAAGCACAATTGATAACACGAAAGACAACTTAACACATATTCATTACAAATAAATCAGTTTTTAACACTAAGAGCCGTTTCAGTTCTTCTTCCCAACAATAGTTTGCATTTTGTTGCTTATTCTTTTCAAAGTGCAAATCGAATCAAAGTGTAAATCCAAACAGGGCCTGGCTATTCTTCAGCTGGTGGAACTGTAACAAAATCAAGTGTGGTCAGCATTAATCATTGGAATTCAGTTTTTAGAAGACAGCAGAGTTGCCCTAGCATCAGGGTGCACAAAAGTGACAATATCCTTCTTGTTGAAGACATTACTATTAATTGTGCTTTGAATTCCACCCTTGCAAAAGATTAACTGAGCTAAAATGGGATAAACTTATTTAAGTGAAGACCTAATTGTAACTGATATAGCAAGTTTAAAGTTTGTGTTGCCATATAGAAACTGTATGGATCTCGTCTTTACTAAAGAAAAAGTGTTTTCATTGTCTTGGTAGTGATTAAGTTGGAGGTCTCTGGGGAAGCGTCACCATGAATGTATAGATCCTTTCCAAAGCATGACAAATATTCAGGGACACAAGGCATATCATAGAAAATGAATTGTGACTAACAGAGGACCCCAATTTAAGTGCCACCAAAATTGTCTAATGCATGCTAACTTACCATCCTCCAGCAGCTTGAAGTACCACTGCATGTTGCCTTGCAGATTATGACACTTGTCTATTAAAGTGGCAAACAGGTTCATTATCATAGAACCAGTTTGATGCGTCTCTAATGTTTCCAGCAGCTGAGCCTTGGTTGCCGCCGCAGTTTGTAGCCAGGAGTCGTCTTGCACAATGTTAAATAGACCTGAAAAACAAACAATAGTGATTGTTATAAATCAAATCACTTTCACTAAGAGCAATTGACCCCCCTCTCCCCCCCCCCCCAAAAAAAAGGAAGAAAAAAGAGCAGAGTAACTGCTCCACCCAAACTGGAACAGAACTTAAAACTCCCCATGAGCTCGAAGTGACATCCGTCATACATTGAGGATCATTGCCAAAAAAGGTCACTGTGACCTCAGAGTGGTCAGGTATAGTGATGTCACACGTGAGTCATTTTAAACTCAATGGGCCCAAAAATGACCCAAAAGTGACATCAGCAAGTGACTGCACTTGGGAGTCAACGAAGACTCCAAAAATGATCTCAAAATGACGTCTTGTAGTGACCCCGAGTTCCAGGACTGTGCTATTCTAGTATGGCAGTATTGGATACAGAAATAACAAAGAGCTTTCATATGTTTCTAACAATTTTGCAAATACGTAACATAAAATAATATTAAAAAAACAGCTGCTGCCATTTAAAAAAAAAATTAATTACTAATGTACACAGAGTTGAATGCTGTAAAGAAGAAAGCTGACACCGGACTGCTACATCAGCAACGTCATCCTCATCATCCCCCTGAATTTCATTTTCACTTTCCAAACGTTTAGCCTCAAGGTCTAGGCTCCTTTTAACCGCACTGTCAGCCTATGCCTGTCTGTTCGTCCTCCTATCCTTGACATGCAAAAGTATACATCACAAGCAAGTGTAAAAAAGCTTACGAGCTAAATTCTTCGCAGGCTTATGAAGAACTCCAGTTGTTCCAATTGCGAAATGCAAAACCAGCCCTTCGTAGGCTGAAGAGGCCCTAAAGAACAATGTGTTCTCATTGTAAAGAAATTTTTTGGCGAGCTTGGGATCAGTGCGCACTCTTGACAATGAACACACAGTCTTTGGAGCCATAACCTCACGAAGTGTTATGAAATTTGAACTAGAAACTTCTTTACGAATGTGTCATCCGTTTCAGAAACGCACGCCTTGAAAGAGACATTCTTTTGTACAACTTAATATCATATCTTTACTGGTTAGAAGCCACCTTCCTTTTAAGTTCCAAATCGCATTGGCGCAATTTCACATGATTTCGGTGCCGAGTTCACACGCGGACGCGGCTACACTCTCATTCAGGGGTGTTCTAAAACTTGACGCCTTTAGTCGCTTGCCTTAGGTTTTGTACCACCTTGAGACGCCTCACCACGTAACGCCAAAAGGCGCCTCAAAACAAAGCGCCTAAGGCGCTCTCTTTTGAAACACCTTGGGCTCAAACCACTGCATGAGATAGCAATGCATGGCTGCTTAGGCTCACTTGCAAAGGTGCGTCCCATGTAAACACCTTTCACTTTGATTTTACTAGTGGGGGTGCGCCCAGGCCAAACACCTCTGCTGCACAATGGATGCAGCGCAAGGTGTATGCTGGCCATACACCTTGCGCTTTCTTTGCATGGCAGTGGACAAGGTGCGTGGAGTCTAAACACCTTCAGCCTAGGCTGAAAAAGGCGCAAAGGTGTGTGGTCTGCAAACACCTTTATGGCCTACTGCATTTGTGCTGACTGGGGTGCGCTCTGGGCAAACACCTTTTGTCATCATTGGGAGAAATACCTGTTTACTTTGGTAGATGTTGAAGTTTCGACTGCTTCCGCTGGATTCTTGGTAGTGACTGTTAGTACTTCAAACCAAACCTGACTAAATTCCCTTACAGTCATGTTCACCTACTTGTCTGAATTTTTCATACAAGACTGGCCTTGGCTTTGATTGTTGGCCGTTTCTGCAGTGCGCGAGGCTAGTCTGAGTTTTTCATGACTCGAATCTGAATCTGCACTCGCGGCGTTTTGGACAGGCGAGTTTTTGGAAATGGCCGTCGTTACGTTTGGTGTTGCAGTAATTACTTTATCAAAGTTATGGCTTTACATTAATCGTGTGACATTCCCCAACCGGATCATTTATCGTTGTTTATGTTATGTTTTTATTCAAACATCATTCAGTCCTCGTGTGAAATTGAAAACAGTGACTACAATGCAAGTTTACATCAACAGTTGAACCTCACCATGAAGTGCAAAAAGCAAGCAACATAATGGAATACTCTATTTATTATTGGATATCAACACCTAACATCCTTGTGATTAATTTCTTTAGGTCAACTTCTAAAGTACATGTAGTAGGTAAACATGACTGTAAGGGAATTTAGTCAGGTTTGGTTTGAAGTACGAACAGTCACTACCAAGAATCCAGCGGAAGCAGTCGAAACTTCAACATCTACCAAAGTAAACAGGTATTTCTCCCAATGATGACAAAAGGTGTTTGCCCAGAGTGCACCCCAGTCAGCACAAATGCAGTAGGTCATAAAGGTGTTTGCAGACCACACACCTTTGCGCCTATTTCAGCCTAGGCTGAAGGTGTTTAGACTCCACGCACCTTGTCCACTGCCATGCAAAGAAAGCGCAAGGTGTATGGCCAGCATACACCTTGCGCTGCATCCATTGTGCAGCAGAGGTGTTTGGCCTGGGCGCACCCCCACTAGTAAAATCAAAGTGAAAGGTGTTTACATGGGACGCACCTTTGCAAGTGAGCCTAAGCAGCCATGCATTGCTATCTTATGCAGTGATTTGAGCCCAAGGTGTTTCAAAAGAGAGCGCCTTAGGCGCTTTGTTTTGAGGCGCCTTTTGGCGTTACGTGGTGAGGCGACTCAAGGTGGTACAAAACCTAAGGCAAGCGACTAAAGGCGTCAAGTTTTAGAACACCCCTGAATGAGAGTGTAGTCAGCTGAGGCACTGACCGCACTGACCACAAATAACGGTGGCTGTCAAAAATAAAACTCATAATCAAAAATAAGATATAAAAAATCCGCTTGTTAAAATTAATTGAAATTATGAATACTCCATAAGTTTCAGGATTGCTTGGAGGGAACATCACAAGAAAACTACAGTTGTGTCCGGGTCCCCGCTAAAGTTCAAAAGTCAGTCCTTTCGAGGTCCTAGTTCGCACGCACCCATTTCTTGAAAGCTTACAGCCAAAAGGTACCCGCTTTAGCTGTAAGGTGTACTCACCGGAATAATGTACATCTGGGACTCCGACCCCCTGGTAAACAGCTGCGGACAGAAGTTGGTTCTTGTGCCGAGCCCTTTCGTTGTTCAGGGCCACATCCACCACCCAGTCGGCAAAGTTCCTCATCATTATCTTCAATGCGGGACTTTCATTCAATGAAGCAATTTGACTGTAGTATTCCCGCCGCACAGTGCGGCCAATCCCGAAAAACGCGGACATAAACGACTTTTTCAATTTTGAGCTACAATTGTTTCCATAGTGGGATTCGAAACTAGGATGATTCTTACGTCTAAAAACAGTTTACTCATATTTTTGCACACCCGAGAACGTCTTCTGTAGCCCTTCAAAGATACGTCTTTTGGCGCCAACGAAAGGGGCAACATAACCTATACATGTTTCCAAAGCTTTTATCAAGTTCCTTGAGCCACCGAAGCAGGCCGCGAAAATGCCCCAGGTACAGCTCGATCCCTCGTCTTTCACGAGCAATAAGGAACTTTACCAATATTTGCAAAATAAGTATTCTGAATTAACTTTTTCCTGGGAGCCCGCGCGTCTTCAAATTCATATAGTTTCGATTGAGATATAAAATGATTCCCGGGGATTCCCGTCGTTTGGCGCACATCAAATTAAAGCTTGATACTTCCTTGATCGATTCCAACAAAGATTGGGCCCAGCACGCCCCAGCCGCAGCTGTGCTGAGCAAGTATGTTCCTTGATTTCAGCACTTGTCGCCATATTTCCACCTTAGTGGACGGGTCGGTATCGATACAACAATCACAGCAGGGACAGTCAAATTGAGTCTCCTCAAGTTTGGAAGGTCGGTGAATCCATCCGTGACCGCATTTTTGACAAAACAGGGGCGGAACCAGGAACAAAAAGGGGGGTAAATTTTGAAATTTGACCAAATTGTTTAAAATTTTGTATTGGGGAGTTTTAAGGGTATCTAAATCTATTTTTGGCAATTTTGTTGACCTATCAAGTAAAATAGAACTTTCCCCCCTTTTAACTCCCTGATCCGCCCCTGCTATAGCAAAATTAAGTTTTGAAATGGATTTAGAGACCCTGCAAACCCTCGGATGCAAAATTTCAGTCTGTTTAAAATACTTTTAAAATTTACCCCCTTTCATATTTCTGGTTCCGCCCCTGCTGTATCAAAATTGAGGTAAGAAATAGAAACAGAGACCCCGCAAACGTATCTAAGCGAAAACTCGTCGGCCTACGTTTGCTAGGAACAGTTTTTTTGAAATATGTCCGTCTTTTTCGAGATCGGCCGCACTGTGCGCCGGTTACTTTCCCACATCTCCTCTATAAACTCCCCCCATTCCTCCTCCATCATCATAATTTCAGTAAGAACGGACAAGTGCAAGATCACCGTACTGTGCCCAGCGTGGTCATGAAACTACTGAAGGCTGAAGCTCGTCACGCGTCCTATCAGCCTCCGGTACCACCTGGTACCGGAACAACGGATACCACGTGGTACCGGAAGAACGGGTACCACGGGTACCAGCTTTCTCGTCGTTCTAGTCGTTGCACCGACTTTGGCTATCCCTTACAGAGGAATGGCCCATGGTCATCACCAGTATGGGAATACTGCCTGGTATTAATGCACTGGCGGTCTCGTGCCGTTGACTTGAACCAGACCCACCATGAATACCACCGACTTTGGCTATCCCTTTCAGAGGAATGGCCCATGGTCATCACCGGTATGGGAATACTGCCTGGTATTAATGCACTGAGGGGCCCGTGCCGTTGACTTGAACCAGACCCACCATGAATACCACCGACTTTGGCTATCCCTTACAGAGGAATGGCCCATGGTCATCACCAGTATGGGAATACTGCCTGGTATTAATGCACTGGCAGTCTCGTGCCGTTGACTTGAACCAGACCCACCATGAATACCACCGACTTTGGCTATCCCTTTCAGAGGAATGGCCCATGGTCATCACCGGTATGGGAATACTGCCTGGTATTAATGCACTGGCGGTCTCGTGCCGTTGACTTGAACCAGACCCACCATGAATACCACCGACTTTGGCGATCCTTTACAGAGGAATGGCCCATGGTCATCACCAGTATGGGAATACTGCCTGGTATTAATGCACTGGCGGTCTCGTGCCGTTGACTTGAACCAGAACCACCATGAATACCACCGACTTTGGCTATCCCTTACAGAAGAAAGGCCCATGGTCATCACCAGTATGGAAAAACTGCCTGGTATTAATGCACTGGCGGACTCGTGCCGTTGACTTGAACCAGAACCACCATGAATACCACCGACTTTGGCTATCCCTTACAGAGGAAAGGCCCATGGTCATCACCAGTATGGGAATACTGCTGGTATTAATGCACTGGCGGTCTCGTGCCGTTGACTTGAACCAGACCCACCATGAATACCACCGACTTTGGCTATCCCTTACAGTGGAATGGCCCATGGTCATCACCAGTATGGAAAAACTGCCTGGTATTAATGCACTGGCGGTCTCGTGCCATTGACTTGAACCAGACCCACCATGAATCACCGACTTTGGCGATCCTTACAGAGGAATGGCCCATGGTCACACCAGTATGGGAATACTGCCTGGTATTAATGCACTAGCGGTCTCGTGCCGTTGACTTGAACCAGAACCACCATGAATACCACGACTTTGGCTATCCCTTACAGAAGAAAGGCCCATGGTCATCACCAGTATGGAAAACTGCCTGGTATTAATGCACTGGCGGACTCGTGCCGTTGACTTGAACCAGAACCACCATGAATACCACCGACTTTGGCTATCCCTTACAGAGGAAAGGCCCATGGTCATCACCAGTATGGGAATACTGCCTGGTATTAATGCACTGGCGGTCTCGTGCCGTTGACTTGAACCAGAACCACCATGAATACCACCGACTTTGGCTATCCTTACAGTGGATGGCCCATGGTCATCACCAGTATGGAAAAACTGCCTGGTATTAATGCACTGGCGGTCTCGTGCCATTGACTAACCAGACCCCCCATGAATACCCCCGACTTGGCTATCCTTTACAAGGAAAGCCCATGGACACCGTATGGAATCTGCCTGGTATTAATGCACTGGCGGTCTCGTGGACGTTGACTTGAACCAGACCCACCTGAATACCACCGACTTTGGCTATCCCTACAGAGGAAAGGCCCATGGTCCTCACCAGTATGGAAAAACTGCCTGGTATTAATGCACTGGTGGACTCGTGCCGTTGACTTGAACCAGAACCACCATGAATACCACCGACTTTGGCTATCCCTTACAGTGGAATGGCCCATGGTCATCACCAGTATGGAAAAACTGCCTGGTATTAATGCACTGGCGGACTCGTGCCGTTGCCTTGAACCAGACCCACCATGAATACCACCGACTTTGGCTATTCCTTACAGAGGAATGGCCCATGGTCATCACCAGCATGGGAATACTGCCTGGTATTAATGCACTGGCGGTCTCGTGGCGTCGACCTGAACCAGAACTACCATGGATACTAGCAACCTTGGCTACCCCTTACAAGCGGGAAGGCCCTGAATGCAACTGTTGCCTGGTACTAGTGCATTTTCGGACTCTGGGTTTGGCCTTTTGTAGGCTGTTTTTGCTCTCGTTGCGGTCCTGCGCGTCGCCCCTGCGGCTGCGGACCTCCCTGTCACTGCGCGGCGAGGCACGCCGTTCTGCCGAGCCCGTATAGCCGTCAACTCCGCCGTCCCCGGAATCCAACATCCCGTCAGCCTCCGGCCACCCGCGGGACTGGGGCCCGCGGTCAGATAAACATGCCCATTCAAGCCTGCTTTGATGCGCTGCGCACCCATTTGCCGCGATTCGCGGAGGTGATTCTCTTTTTTATAGACCACGGCGGCGGCGACGTGCCCCCCTTCCGGGGCGCCCCCCGTGCCCGTGGCCCTGTTGGGCAGTGGGCATGCCCGCCCCGGTGGTGTGCGGGGACGCGGAGTCCCTGTCATTGCGGGCGGAACTGGGCTCTTTTACCACCTCCTCTTTGACCGCCCTTCGCGGCGCACTCATCAGTCCTATGGGACTGCTAGTAGCAGTGCTCAGTGCTGCAGGTGTCGGAAGCGCCGCGCCGACTCCGCTCACGGACCGCGTAGCGCGCTCCTCGGCGCGGCTGCACTTAATGAAGACGGCCTGCAAGGCGGGCGCCAGGAGCACCGAGTGCGTGGCCAGCGCCGCGCCGGCCTCCCCGGCGCGGTCACCGGCCAGGCCCGCCGCGAGAAGCTGGCCCACCTCTTTCGGCGACGGAATTGAGAACCCCAGCTAATCCAGCCAGAAAACGCGCGCGAAGCGAAACGACAAGTGTGGCCGTCTTGCTCCAGATGCCGGTGTGGCTGGCGGTGGAGCCCGTGGCGGTGGTGCTGGGCGTGTGCTGCCCCGGCCTGTCCTACACCACGGCCTTCGTGGTGTCCAACCGCGGCCGCGTCGCCGCCTCGCTGGTCGTGTCGGTGCCGCGCGAGCTGCGAAAGGCACGTCGCCGTCAAGCCCGCCGCGCTCCTGCTGCGTCCCGGCGAGCGCCGCCGCGTGCAGCTGCACCTGTGCGCCAGTGTGTTAACGTGTACCGCCGTTTAATCACGCGGCTAGCGGACCAGCCAGCAGACCCGTGGTGCCCATGCCCGTGCCCGTGTCGGCCCGCACGCTGATTCCGACGTGGGACTTCCCCGCTGTGACTCTCTCCCACTCACAGACTTTGAATATACTGATCGGGTGGCCCGTGCGGGTGCGAGAGAGACACAGCGACAAAGCGCCGTTTCGGAATGAGCCAGCCGCCACGCGGCTCTCTTTCCCTCTTTCTCCTAACAGACAGTCCTTCTCCCGCGTGATGCACAGAGGTCCACCTGCCGGCTGTCGAGGGTGACGCAGTTCACCGTGCAGGTGGCCCCGCTCACCAAGGCCGTGCGCGGTCCTTGCGCAACGGTCCCGCGACTCACAGCTCGACTCCCGCGCGCGGTCATCCTCATCGATTTTCTTGGTTCGAGCCCAGCTCGCGGTACTTCCCTACGCTGGTGGTACACAATGATGAAATATTTTCAAGCGAACGTCTCTCAGGCGACAAGCACTGTTTTCAATTCACTTTTCCAGGATTTTGCAGTGACAAGTCCGCCAGCACATAATTAT